TGCTGTTTTATGCTTTGTTGTTGCTTACAGTAACTCCCTAAATTCACAGTCAGTTCAGCAGAATTTCTTTTGTCCATTTTGGTGCATAAACGCTATTGAACAGTGAGGGAATAGTAGAGATAGAAAAAGAAATCAAATCRCAGCCTTGAAATTACAYACTGGCAGAATCTCACAAGTTACAMATTTGGGAGAGTTCAGGGTTGAACTGGGAGTGGTTGGAGCCGTGCTGGGGCATTTTCCAGTAATCAAGCACAAAACTTGTGTGTGAAGTACAATGAGAACTTCTGCTTGGAACACTGTGATTGGAAAGTGGATGAGGATGGGTTTCACTTCAGGAAATCACCTGCTGTATCTATTTTGTCATTCTGACAGTTTAGATTTGTCAAATATTTTTCTGTTTTTTATATTCACGTAAAACTAGTTAATGGTCACATGCATTAATAATTTAATTTAAAAATAATAGAAAAATTATTTCTTTTCATTAAGGCTGTAAAGAAAATGCTGTCCTGATTTTCCAGATTGTCCCTTTGCAGTCAGCAAGAATCTTCTTGAGATAATTTAAAATACTCTTTCTTACAATAAAGATATCGTGTTGTTGCCAAATTAGGGCAAGGAAGGAAAGGAATAAAATTGGATACAAAAGGGACATGCTACATTAAAAAATAGGACACTGGGCTTTGAAATATAGAAGGCACAGGACTTAGCTGTAMTGAACAAYRTAAAATGAGAATCTTCAGAAACTACTGAACTATGGGGGGAAAAAAGGCCTTTCTTATCATTACTAATTATTTGAAATTCCTGTGCTGCAGTGATATTATAGGTATACATGGAGCCATATTTGTTCTGTCTCTAGGTTTTTCCAAAATGTAGCTGTCACAGGATGTAGAAGAATGATATGTAAAAAATAAAAATTAGACTCTCATTTTAGACATATGCTATTATAATGGAGAGTACAGTAAGGACAGTTACTTTTTTTCTAGCAAAATTTACTTTCTTTAGTCATATTAGATGTTCTTACATAACTTTCAGGATATTTTGTCATCCTTGCAATAGTTTTTTGTCTGCTTTTATTTAATTTCTTTTTTTTTTAATTCATTGAATATTATTTATTGAAGACCTTACATTCAATGGAGGAAATAGTGATAAATTTTTTTCTTCTCTAAAACTTGGGCAAATCCTTTTTCTGGAATAATTATGTCACATGTCATTGATCCTTCAATGTTTTGTGGGTTTAGAACTTTGCTTGTTACTAAGGCTGTCTTCCTCATTCCAGGTAAGGGTGATCAAACTTTCAAAGAAATTGATTTTCCCTGTGCTGAATCCCTGTGATGGTTTAACCCCAGCCAGCAGCAAAGCCCTACACAACCACTCACTCACTCCCCCACCAGCAGGGTCAGGTAGAGAATCAGAAGGGTAAAAGCTGGAAACCTTTGAGTTTTAGATAGAGACAGTTTAATAGGGAAAGCAGAATCCATGCACACAAGCAAAGCAAAATGAGGAATTCATTCTCTGCTTCCCATGGCTGGGCAGGTGTTCAGCCATCTCCAGGGCCCCATCACAAATAACAGTGATGTGGGGAGACAAACCCCATCACTCCAAACATCCCCCCTTGCTCCTGCTTCCCCCCACTTTATCCACTGATCGTGATGTCCCATGGTCTGGAATATCCCTCTGGTCCATTTGGGGTCACCTGTCCCAGCTGTGTCTCCTCCCAGTGTCCCAGGCACCCCCAGGCTGAAGGAATGTAATTATCCCAGCCCAAACCAGCACAGTCCTGCCATGTGCGTGGTAACCATGAGGATTTTATAAAGTCCTGACAGCAGAAACAACCCTTCTAAAGTCTCTGGTCAATGGTGGCCTTAAAGAACTTTGGACTGAGATTCCTCACTGCTATCTTAAAAAACACACTTAAATATGTTGATAAACCTATTTCCACCAGGACCCATTCAGAAAAAGTATTTTATTTGTTTCTGTGCCTTTGCACAAACCCTCTATGTTGTTCATAATASTTCAAAAATTGTCTTCTACTGTTCAACATGATTCAATAACAATACTCAGACCCTTCTCATCTGCAGTCAGTAACTCATTAGCTGCAGGTAAAGGGGTTCATGGGTTCCTGGGGTCAATCTTAAAACAATAGACACTCAAATTACATTTCTGAACTTTTTTGTTTGGCATAAATCTCTAATTGGCATTCACCTTTCCTTCTGTTGAAAACATCCTACTAAAGAGTGAAAACAAACAAAATACATCCCCTAAGAGACACTGATTTACATTGTGGTTTTCATTTTGGAAGTGAACCTCGTATTTTAATCTGTAGAGTCTTGGTGTTTTTGTTATACAAAAACTGATCATTTTGGAGCATCATTTAGAAATTGYAAACACACAGTAAGGGATTTTTATGTTACATTAAAGTAAATTATATTATCATAATTATAAAGACCTCTCTAATAAATTATTAATACATATATTATCTTAAATAGTACTTCACTCGTCKGTATATTCTACCTTAGAGAAGCCAGATTAATTATGTAGATATCATGATGTGTTTAACCACAAGTGAAGTGCTTTGTTAATTGGGTTTGGTCTCTCACTGATGCAAGAAAACAACTTTGTTTTGTTTTTGTTTTGTTTAGATTGCCTACTAACTTCCTGAACTCTTCAATTCCAGAGTGCAATAAAGCAAAAGTATATGTATATATGTTATTTTTTGGAGGGAACTAAGCCAAGTATTTTCACAAGGAAGTGGGAATTGTTTTTCATAGATTTGGAGCTTGTGCCTTCATAGCCACTTGTGTAAATGGGCTCCTGAGACATCCTGAATGCAGTTTTMATTATGCAGCCTCATTGTCCTCCTGGATGGGAGAATTGGTCATCATGGAATCCCAGAGTCTGATGAAAAACTCAGTCTTGCTGCAAAAAGCACAGTCCCTAGAGGAGGACTGCTAAATAACTTATTTACATACAAACCTCATGAGGCAATAGGGAACCTATACATCTATAAATATTTTGATTTTCGGTGATGGGAAATAACAGCATTTCTTATTAAAAGCAGCTATTATGAAAAAAAAATTATGTAACTGTAGATCGAGTTTGTTTTTGAAGCAGTTCTGCAATAGGGTTTTCATTCATTTCTTAATCCTCTCCCCTCTGAAAAAAAAAAAAAAAAAAAGGAAAAGGAAATAACTCCCTCCCCAAATACCCACATCAACAAGGAAACTTATAATTGAAAAAATAAAATATGTGGGATTTTTTCAATTTGTTTTCTGTACTTTGCTTTTTTACAAGCTGTTGTACTTCTGTCTGCAATGTACMAAAATCTCCAGTGTGCCAGGTATCAAAAGAAGTTAATATCTCAGAGTCAAAAGGGGGAAGAAGCTCAAGTAGTGATTTGCAAGAAGTGGGTGGCAGCTGTTGCCAGTGACACTTTGGAAAGAGTTTGGGCACTCTTTGTTCCCTAAACCTCCTGCACAACCCTTGAGCCACACACCCTGGCCGTGGTGGGGAGGTTCTGCTCGAGCACCTCCCTTSTGTTCTTCACCCTTCCTGTAGTCCACAACCTCTGCGTTGTTTCAAGTGTACTCTAAAGCTCACATCAGAAATCCTCACCTAGAGAGGGCACAGAAATGAATTGTTCTGTGACATAAATACATAACTCCCTAAAATGAGGGGTTAGATTTGCTTCAGATTAAATTTAAGTGTTTGAGCTTTAGGCTATTCTTGCTGTGCTCTGAATGTACTCTATGTTTTCCAGTTCTGTTTCTTCATTTGCTTTTGCTTTTCCTTTGACTTTAACACGATGCTGTGTGTGCTTACTCAGTTTTTCTCCATAGGCTTCAGSAGGGGATGCTGAAAGGTTTTCTTCTTTCTCTCTAAACCCCAGCTGAGTCCATGGAAAGATCTTTTTCCTTTCTTGTGGAAGAAGGAAAAGCACTGATTGGTAAAAGTCTCTTTTCCCTGCTGAAGCATTTCTCATCCAGGTCTTYAGCCTGCACCATTCCAGAATCAGCCTTGCAGTGAGAGATGCAGTGTTGGAAGTACAGTCAATGAATATTTCAGTTGCTTTGTGATCACTGTAGGAATCTCAGTTCCCTTCCCTAGAAGGCCTGTGAATTTGCAATGCATTGAGGTCCTCAAGAAAATATTGAGAATGTAGTTTGTGCTGACTAACCTTAGGGAATTAAATGTAAATTAAAAAATATATATTATATAGAGATGTATATAAAAGAAATGCTTATTCCTTCACACACTGCACAGATTTTATTGTTTGTGGARTTTGGGAGTTTTGCTTTTATTGTGTCAAACTTCACCTTCTTGGAGAAGTCTGTCTGCTGGTATTTTCATGCTACTATGGGCAAACCAGGTACCAGATGCTAGCCAATGCTTTTTATCAGTAACTTTAGTGACTCTTAAATTTCCACAAAACACATTTCTTTCAAATAGTGAATAAAGCTAATTGTTATTTTATATTTAACATGAGTTATTTTATATTTAACATGAGAAAGTTGTTTAGCCTTTGCAGTTCGCTAATATTTGCCTTAATGAAATAAGAAAGTGTGGCCATTAATTATATCTTGCAATAAATCTTTAAATATTACTGCAGTCCCTAAAGGACTTGTTCTTCAGAAAATCCTAAACTTTGTGTTGGTTCATTAAGAATGAAGGATTACTGCAGCCACTTTTTCTCAAAYATGATCCAGTTTCATAAGGGTTTTTGAGGCATGAACCTGTCATTTCTTGCTGTATATYCACATGCTGTGTGTCATAATGCCATACTGTGTGACCCAGAACAATTTATCCGTTCTTCTTTGCCAAAATAAACTTCGATGCAATTGCAGTTTGTAAGTGCAGGAATTTTCTGATATGGTTGGTTCAAGAAAGATTTTAATATCTTTTTACTCCCTTTAAAAAAACAGAATAATTWAAAAAAAAATAAAAAAAGAAAGAAAGAAAAAGCTTTAAAGTAATTCAGCTGCCATTTTTCCTTTGTGTTTCACCAGTTGAAAAGATACAGAGCCAGTGGGATGAAGTGCATGGATATCTCCAAAGCCGGAGACAACAACTTCAAGAGATGYTGAAGGATTCAACGCAGTGGCTGGAAGCAAAACGAGAAACTGAGCAGGTTCTTGAACAAGCAAAAGCTAAGCTTGAGTCATGGAAAGAAATTTCCTACACYGTGGAAGCTTTGAAGAAGCAGAACACAGAGCTTAAGGTCACTACCGAGTATTAAAATATTTCCATTTGAGTTAATGAGATCGTTAAAGAAAATGTGCTCTAACTGTTTTCCTCTTAACTATGGATGGTGCACACTGAGGAAATCCCCCACAACAAATTGGAAAGAAATTAACTTGCAAAGTCTAAAATATGTGTCACATATTCCTTGAACATGAAATTAGTCCTAACTTACCAGWCACAACAAATAGCTGGCTGATTTTGCAGGAGGAATGCCTGCCTTTTTAGCACAAGTATTTCTCATCTCTTCTGTTCAGGAACAGCCTCAGTAACACTGGTACTGCAGACTGAAATCCTAAAATATTGGTATGGCTGTCTGCACTGCTAATGAAGCTGTATAAATTGTCTGGAAGTAGCTGAGAAAACAGGGGAAACTGTAGCAAACTGTACAGACATATTTTGAAAATCAAACATTTTAGATTYGCCACAAGATAATCTCACTGAATTGAACCTTGGCAAGTTATTAACTGGAAAAAAAAACCCTGAAATGGCTGCTTTTGTGGTTTTAGCACACATTGCCACATTATGGTTGCTAACTTATATAGCTGATCCATATCTCAGGTAAAAAAAATATTCTCTGTTGTGTTGTTTTTAAGTTTCTTATTATGGAAACAGTCATACTTAGGTGACATTCTTCATGAATAAATTTTGGGAACATCTGTTTAAGATTAATAATATCTCATTTTCTACTTGGGGAAAACCAAGATTGAAACCAACCAATCGATCAGCCTTTTAATGTGGCTCCTGCCTTTGTGGGAGAAGAGTTACACAACTATTTTGTGATATATTCTCCTCTCCTGTCCACCAGATTTTTAACTGGCTTTTTTAACTCCTACTGCTCAATTTTTGGTTAAAGTTTGTGGACTTAGAGCAGTCTTAGTTACACAGCTAAATGATAATGACCTACTGTGAAGAATTAGTGGGGAAAGGTCCTCATCAACTGGTTTTGCTGCCAGAGAAAATAGAACTTTCTCATGTGGAACTTCATGAATGGTTCAGTCATCTCCATTATCCATTAGTTATTGCATTTAGTAGATACAAAATCTGTTGAGGTTTTTGCTTGCTTTTTTTTTTTTTCTTTTGCTTGYCTGTAAGAAGCATCAAAATGCTCATCAKCCCATTGTTTTAGGGCTGAGCTGARGTTAARTTTTCTCATTTAAGATTGTACCAAAAGGGTCATTGCTTGGGAAGGGTAGATTATGGTAAACAAGGGCAATCACTCACTGATGTATTGGGAAGAGTTATAGATCATGTATGGTGCTGTCATTCAGCATAGAGGACTCCCATTTGTCACTGTCTTCCTGCAGAGATAAAGATTCAACAAAGTCAATGTCTCAGCTCTGCAAAGACTCAATTAGCAAAAAAACAGTTCTGTGTAAACACTGTCTTATGTCACAGTATTGGAGTGTCTGTCTAAAACACAAATTATCTAACTGGGAAAATAATTGAAAATGTTGTTCTAGAAATGGATTTTTTTTGATTCACATTTTTTTTTCTTTTTTTTTTAACAAGAAGAGATGAAGTTGAGATGAGGTCCATGTAAGAGTGAAAACGTTATGGGGTTTTTTTGGATCCGCATTATCCATGGAGAGAAATAAGAACATGCCATACTTCTCTATTCCCAAAGTTCTGGAGAAAGAATACTTGTGTACTTTGTCACAGAATGCATTTCTTCCTATAAAAAGAGTTTGGGAATGGAGGCCTGCAGATTGTTTTACCTCTTTCTTTGAAAGCATTTGGGCTCTCTGTATCCTCAGCCATTCCCACCAGTCTGGAACCAATGAGATGTGTTGAGTCAAGTTACAGAGGTTAACCTATAATTGCAATTTCAGTATCACAGCTAGTCCATTTAAATTTGTGCCCTAATAATTATGTAAACATCAGCAAGCTCTACTCTTCCAGGATTGTTTATTTTTATTTGGTTTTGTCCTGCCTTTCTTCCCTGAGTCTAGAAGAAATTCACCTCTGTCTTATGGGGGGTGGGAGGGATGGGGGAACTTATTTTCTTTTTTTTCCTTCTCCTTTTTGTGTTTCTTTTGTGCCAGCCTTCCTAGAGGAATTCTCTTTGTCTGCCAGCAATTCCTATAGTGTCAAATCCCTCATCAAAGTTTTTCAAATGTGACAGCATCAGCTGTTATGTTCATGCTTGAGATAAGGGGTCATGAAGTCTAGGGGAAATGGATTTTTTTTTTTTTAACTAACAGCTTTATGTTTCTTCTGTATAGTATTATCTAAACTGAAGGACCTAGAAATACATCAAGTTCTCAAAATAAATGCTTTCCAGGCTTCTGTGCCAAACAYATATATTTTGATGTTGTCCCCTGAAGATGTAGAGTAAGTAGGCTGTCTTTTGGCTTGCTGTTATACTGATGAAGAGGAAGCTGTCATTTCTATTGCTTTGCTTTGAGGAAAGGAGAGAGGTCAGTGCTAGATTWAAATAAATTCTTCAGACTTATTAATTTTGTCGGCTTTGTATCTCAACACAGCTTGGTGTGAGAAAGTAAGTCACCAAGTATTCTTCTGATTTGCTTGTTAAATGTTATAGGTCTGCCTAAAGACAGYTGATGCAATGTCTGGGTCCCCTCCTGCTCTAGGGGAGTTTTTAATCAAATCAGTGTTTGTGTTAATGCATTTCTGTTAGGACACMCTTRTACRTGAGTTAATGGTAAACTCAGTAATWCTGGTCTTTTTATAATTATTATTTACAATGCCAGCATAAAACAAAATTCTATGATTGGCTYRTATTYGGCCAGTGATGTTTTTAATAKAATTTGATTMTTTTGTTTTTGATATTKAAAAGGGAAAAGTAAMCAGGTGTTRTAGCTAATAATTAAAATGTTGTTYATTTGAATCAGAAATTAATTCAGAGCTAATTTTTTGAGAATTAAAGCATTTCTTTTCATTCTTTGGTATTTGTGAACTAAACTAGTGTTAGGTGTGGGGAATCAGAATATGGCAATCTGGCCAACAAGAGCCTTTAGCCATTGTGCCCTGTTTGCTGTTGCTCACYAAGTGATGACTGCAGATGGGTAACTCAGCAGGCTGAAGGTTACAGGGGTATAAATAGTACACAATCACACCTCAGCTCCTTCCACCARCACGTCATCAGAACACAAGCTAGTGTAAAACTAGACTTTTCTTAATAGGATACTGAGCTTCTGTTTAAAAGAGAAAAAAAAAAAATATTCCCACCAAAACCCCAACCAAACAAAACTGCTAGGATTGCCTGTTCACTCCTTGGCTCCTTGCTTTGGTTGGAGCTAGTGAGGAATCTTTTCTCCATCTCTACCACTTCATCTGGGGTGGCCAAAAAGAAGAGGAGGAAGGATGGAGGCAAAGTTTCATTCCTTTCCTTCATCACCATTTATTTCTACATCTAAATAGGTAATGAAATAGCAGCCTGCTCTGTTGGGACTCAAAAGGCCAGGCAGCCTTCCACTGGCATAGCCCAGGGTGTGAACTTTAATTCCTGAATTTGTGGATAAGGCTGAGGCTGTCTTGCTTGCATTTGTTGATTTCTTGCATCTTGGTAACTTCCCAGGGACTCTTTTGCCATTCCCTCTGCACCAGGATGAGGTACAATCTCAGCATTTTATGAGTTTTTATTATTGCAGGGTTGACAGTGTACTGCTTTCATTTTAGTAAAACATTCAGCAATTAAGTTCAGCTTATTGACTGTGTTGCAGACACTGAATAGAAATTCCTTGATTAAAAAAATTAATTCTCTACGTGTATTAAAAATAATGCTTCAGATACACAGAAAAAGGACAGAAAGCCTGATTTTCCAGACTTGCTTCAGATACACAGAAAAAGGACAGAAAGCCTGATTTTCCAGATTTGTGATATACGCACAGAACTAGATGATGTTGTACATGCATATTTCTATATTTGAAGTACTGTGCATCATTGATTTTGTTCCACTGGGCAATCCTGGGATAGAAMAAAGTGCAGCTTTAATTTCATTACTTGTTTTTAATCAAGGACTCTTAATTGAACAGACTTTATTCCTAATAACATCAACTAGYGTCTTCTAATTAAAAATTATAAATAAATTTATACCTAAGTAACATGATAAATGCACARCCTTAATTCTTTAAGCCTTTTAATAAACTCACTAAATTCCAGCGATAACACAGGCAAAACAAAGAGAATGCTTTAAAAAGAAATGTTGAAAAGAAATGGAAGCAATGAAGCATTTTCCTTTAAAGAGAAAAACAAATGTGGTCTTAAGTAGCTAAAAGAGAAATGAGGCCTGAAAATATAAAAGGGGAAAGAGGAAAATAAAGAATGGCATTCATGTAATTCTGAAAATGTACATTACAGTCAGGAAGGAAGACAGTTAATGGGCCTCTGGTAGGACAGGCAGGTGAAACTTGTGCCACAACCCTTTGTTCTCAGAGTGAAGATGAAGCATGTGTTCCTCAGAGCTGTTGAAAAATTGCATATCGGTTTCCAGTAAGATAGAAAATATTCATTGTTTCCATCAGCAATGCTCTCTATATTCACCATTTCTTTCCTGAGTGATGACCTAGTGTTGTAGTGTCAGGAAGTTAATGGATTAATGTTGAAGTTAATGGTGAGAACAACACTTTTGGAAATAACCTTGTAATGGATCTTCTTTGATTTTTTTTTTTTTTTTTAATAATTATAAAACAGTGTTTGAAAGCTTTTATAAGGTCATTTTTATTCACATGGGTCTGGGCAAAAGGATCTGGTTTTCAAGTTTTACAGACCATTAAATTACAGTGCAGGCAAAATGTTATGGTAATTTATGGTAAAGCAGTGCACAGTCTGTTGTGATTCTTTGGCTGAGAAAAAAAMCTGCCTGCATAATTTTAAACAAAGAGAAAGGCAGGGTATAATAAAGATRGATAGACCTAAATGTAGAGTAGATACTTGCTATATAAGGTCTACAAAACTGCAATTGCCATAAATAATTTGATAATTGCCATAATATTTGCCATAATAATTATTAATTATATTAATAATAATTGCCATAAAATTTGATATTTTGTATGTATATTATTTATGTAAATTCTACAATTTATTTATTTCTGGTATATCATTCTGTCAGGAAAGGAGCTCAGCTGGGAGACTGTTTCCAAAACAACCACATGCCTGTATCTTTCTTGAAGAAATAGTAGTGGTTTTCCACAAAATTATTACCTCTCCTGAATATATCTCCTTAATTAGCAAAGGGAAATTACTTAAAGATATTGTTTAGACAGCTTCAGCTTAGGTGAGCTTAACCATAACATATTCAGATGGTTTTCAGGATTAGGGCTACATAGGCTTCTCCTAATGTTTAATTGTTAAAAATGGGATCCCTTGTTCAAAACAGATTAACAAAGTGCTGCCTTAGTACCTGGTGCACAGTAACAGAGTGATCTGCTCTCTCATGAAGGAATCGCACAGGGAATGGAGGAAATATCTGTTTCCAGGTCTAAATTAAGGACAGAACCCAGAGATGTTGATGTAGCCTTTTAACRTATAAGAGTTTAGGGGAAAAATCAAAACCCCCCAAAACTCCATTTGTACTCTATTCAGACAAGTGCATTTTAGTCCCAGTCTTAATATCAAAATCAGTTTACAGACCCTCTGAGATTAAAACAAAAATGAATAAATTATTTAAAATTTATTTMTTTTTCCATAGTATTTAGACTCTTTCACTAGGGATTGCATGCAAGTTCAGCTCTGTGTGGAGAATTCCTTTTCTGAGTCAAAATGAGATTTCAAAAAGGATACTGCTTTGGGAGAATCAAGGGAAAAAAAGCTATTTTTTTCTTCTCAGGCATTTTCCAATTTGTGTATTAAAGCACGACAATAAAGACAGTCAAGCCTTTCTGTTTGTTTTTTGTCAATAKCTTTAGATGTTTACATGCAACTTACTATTCCCATTTACAAATCCAAACTGGTTTTCATCTTGTATTGTCCATCTTATTGGCTAGTTGGAGTCTGTTTAGYACAAAAGTACAAGTAGGCAATCGATTATCTTTGCTCTTTCGTTTTGTTGTAACATATTATAGATTAAATATGCAGCTTGAGTGAATTTACATGGAAATTTGCTTTGAGAGAAAGACTGACRGGAGAGATGCAAGGGAGCTGGCTGCTGGCAGAGCGAGTGCTCTGGATTTCCTGGCTTGCTTCTGCAGTGAAGCAGCTGGCCTAGGTGGAGAGGAGAGAAGGAAAAAAGGAGAAGAGAAAGTGGAGAGGAAAGGGGGAAACAAGGAATAACCAGGATTTTAAAGGCATTAAGCATAAATTAGCGTTATAGATGTATGGATAGGTTTAACAGTAGTATTTTGCTGTATTGCAGATTTAGTGCTGTTCCAGTAGATGGCACTAATTACATAAACAATTTGCTAAAATGAACTCAATTAAAAAAAAAAAAATAGAAAATAATAATAATAATAATAAACAAAACTGAAAGCTCAGATACTAATTGTCCAAAACAGTAAAAACAATATTGTTACACAGTAGAAAAAAGACAGTCAGTCAGAATATATGATTTCAGTATATTTTCTATCTCRGTATAATTCAATGCCACAAATAATCGTAGTTTCCATAATGCATAMTAATGCTTAATAATGCATCCATCTATTTGTGTCTCAGAAAAGAATAAACAGCATTCTWATCAGTGTTTATTAATTTGAGCTGTCATGTCTTTTCCAGCATCTGAAATTTGGTTKCTTGGTCCTCTCAGAGTTTAGAATTAGTCCTGTGGTCTTATGCCTAAAAGAATTWAAAACATTTAGAAAGACTGATTTTCATTTCCAGTAAATCTGAGGAAGCACTCCTTCTTTCTTTTTTTTCTCTTCTTTTTATATAGATGGTGTGAGGTATTGAGCTCCTTCTCTTATAACCATACAATGCATATGATCATTTTATGTTKCTCTGAGATTTACTCTTTCTTTCTCTTTTTACTTCAGCAATTTTCAAAAGAAATACGACAGTGGCAAATAAATGTAGATGTGGCAAATGACATGGCACTCAAGCTGCTCCGTGATTATTCAGCAGATGACACMAGAAATGTGCAACTGATGACAGATAGCATTAATGCATCGTGGGCTGCCATTAATAAAAGGTAGGATATAAATTCTGCTGTTTAACTCTGTTAACATCCATTGCCCAGCTTTGGTTGGAGATTACAGAAGAYCTAACTTTTACAAATGACATGACTGTAGTGAGAAACGTTCACAACTCTTCTGTAGATTTTTTTTTTTTTTTAAATCTTCCTTTGGAATAGCATTTAATTCTCTCAAAATTTAGCTTCTTGCCAAATTTCCTCCGCTCTAAAGAGCTGCCAACTAACTTCAGCTGATAGGTTGTATTTCAAGTATTTAAAATTGTTTCATATATGTGTACTATCTCCACATCACAATCACAATAGTGATTCTGACTCATAAACCAAATCTGAAAATGATAGACATATCCTATTGAAGCAGGTTCAAAGTAGAAATGTTATCCTGTATCTTTGAAGCAAATCTCTAGTCAAGAAGTTTTTATTAAATCCTTGACCACATTTTTKATTACATTTCACAGTGTCTCAGTGTTTGGTTTAGATACCAATTCCTTATTARAAGCAATTTTTTTGCAGCTTGCCAAAAATTGTGAATCATTCAATATGCAATCTATAAGATTAGAACATATTGCAGTGTTCTATAAAGAAATTACTTTCTTTATAATAGTGAAAGAGTTTTAAATCATTGCACATTAGATTAGATGTGTAAAAATTATATGAAAGTTGTTTTAATAAGTATCTTGGATTAGGGTTTATAGTTTATAAYTCAAACTAGAAATTAATTAGATCTTAACATATTTTTAATTAAAGTCTATAAGCAAGGCTAAAAAAGTCAGTTTAGCTAAATATGCAATAAATTCAGTAGATCTTCTTGCATAATGGCAGTTACTTAAATCATTGATGACTACAGAAGTTTAATGCCACTTTTTGTTTAATTTTATGTTCATGTGAATGAGTCACTTTAGCAGCATTTTTTCTGAAGCAACCTTACAGACTTAAGACCCAGTTCAAATGAKAGAAGGGATGCTATTGATGTCCAATGAAAGAAAGGCACACARTGTTTTAAAAGCTTTTAAACTAAACTGAGAATTTAGTATAAACATTCCATTAAYATCTGTTGCATTTCTCCTGTTATARTAATAGCCATTTTAGCTTTATTGTAAGTAGYTATATTTTTAAGAAAAAATGTTTTGCTCACTGTGACCTGAGAAGCAGCTTGGGTTGGCCATCTATTCATGGATGAGAAAGGCTAGGAGTCTAATGCTCAAAACCATTCTCCATGAGTAGATAAAATCATCAGCTCAAAAGGATTAGATGTGAGAACCATGATAAAAAGCTTTTTTCTGTATTTAGAATTGCAACTCCTGCTTGGTGAGAAGTCCAGGCCAGGCGGTTTATGTGTAGCTGCTGGGGATAATCAGGTAGTAATTGTAGCTAARAGTGCATTTTAAATCTGTTAAAGCCCCAGGCACAAGCCCAGGTGTGTCTAATGTTGCCCAAAGGTGAGAATTGCCTTCTTGTATGGACTCTGTGAGTTTTAGGCCATGAGAAAATACAAATTCTTCACAACACATTCCTTGCAAGCTTTTCTAAAATGCACATGCCTCTAAAAGGCATGTTAGATGAATGACTGTAGTAAATATTTCATGTCTAAGAAGAGGGCTGCTTAGGGGGCTGAGTAGGCATTTCTCTTTAGGAAGTAGAAAAGGATGGGAATAASTATKAATTGTGAAATGAGTATCCTAGTTTTTGATTGCATTATGTTGTTATGTTTCTAATATATTTTTAATTTTGTGTTTTGTATACTACTTTTGTGAGACTTCTCACGAGTTGGGAACTTGAAAAAGAAGCATTCTGCAAACAGCAGTTGATAAGCTTCTCTAAGGGCTGGATCACATTTTTGTCGGTCTTTTGTGAGACATTGRTAAATACAGACATACTATGGCATCRAGTCAGCATAAGATTTTTCTTGGAAGATTTTCTGTATATGTAGATTGTTTAGGTTTCTTTGAAGCAGTAGTCAGGCATTGCACAGTAGCTTCCTGGGTGAGTTCTTTAAAAAATGTCCTGGATTCCTGGAGGGATTTAAAAGCCATGTGGATGTGAGACTCAGGAATATGGTGTACAGGTGGTTTTGGCAACATTGGGTTAGGGGTTGGACTTGATGATCTCAGAGCTCTTTTCCAACCTAAATGAACGATTCTGTGATTCCTTTGTTAAACAGCCCAGTGGAAAGAGATAATGAAGTCCATGGGCCTTTGGATAAAAAAATGCCAACTTGTTCTGGTTTTTGGGGAGGGTAAAAAATCCAAAGCTTTCAGATTATTGCATAGAGAGAAAGAAGGTGGGGGGGTACCGTTATGGTTTTGGGAATCTTTTGAACTGTWAGAGAGTATTTACTCAGTAGAAAGGAGATGTGAATTTTTTTGTCACAGTCTTCAAGAAAGGCTACTTTCCCACTCAGATATGTATGCAATGGTTAGAGATATATCCATGTGTGTTATTTTCACCTAGACAATGAATGATGACTTGTTCACCTCACAGTAATGTAGAAATAAATTCCAAATAATGTTCTTGACCACTTCTCCAGTATTTTAGAAGCAGCTTTATCCTTTTTATGCATGCCCTAAGTGCCAGAGGAAATATTTATCAAACGATTTTGCTGTCTTCCCTCTATTTTGCTGTTAAATGGTCTAACAATTTTRTGAATATTTTATTTTTAAAATTAAAGAGTTGCTTACATTGTTTTGAACCGGTTTTCCTTTAACTTGCATTAATACCAGAATTGGGTGTCAGTGTGCAACAAATGTGAGACTTCCTTTTCCATGAACCAGTTTACAAAAACAGGCGGTCATGCAGGAGTAAAATTCCACTTTGCCCGTTGGTAATAGTTGCCAAAGCAAGTACTTGGGTCATTAARGCAACATCTGTTAGCTTGTTTTGTTTTGCTTAAGTCGATTGGCAGCTGATTGCTGTAAGTTTACCCTTTGCTTTACTGTGGTTTTAAAATACTGAGCCATAACCAGTACCTCTCTAAGTCCTTTAAGAGATGAACTGGTGAATGCTCAATGGTTGCCTCTCTTTTCTTTCATGTGACATTTCTTAATTTTTATTTTTGTTGATATTGCAAACATACACTAAAAGGCACAGATCACTTGGGCATAAGCCAGAGTGACTTGTAAATAGGCCTCCTCCTCTCATTCCTTAGAAGCATTGCATTTCCAAGAAATTGCTGTATTATTTAAGCTGAAGCACTTAAAGAGAAAGTGTTCTCCATTGCTTGCATTAACAAAAATAAATCTAMCAGATGAACTGAAGTGTTCTTAAGAGGGGAAACAGGGCAATGATAGAAGCAACCGTGAGAAATTTGCTACATAAAAAAAATGTTTGTTATGGTAATATTATGTTAGTACCTCCTTTCATGAGCACACACATTTTATGTGAATTATCATACAAAGATATCAACAGTTGCTTGTATTTTCCTTTMCTGCGAATCCACCAAATGTGTTAAATATCATTAGCTTAAATTTTCTGCTAAAAAACAGGCTTTGATCTTTCTTAAATGGAGTTATATTATTGCAATAATTGCATAATGTACTCTGAGAGTAGTTTAGGATTCCAACCAATGTGTAATAGACATCTTCAAATATTCACATCTCCCACCAGTTCCTGTGTTGAAATTCAATGCAGTTCATGCCACACAGCAAATGCTGGGAGATTCCACTGCTTGAGATGCTTTTTTGTCTCCTGAGACAATATAGRGGACACACAACAATCTAAACATAAAAAGTGACTTTCTTTCCCTGGCTGCAGGGTATGAACAGTGAAAAACCAGTATATAATTAGATAGTTACTAGTCTGAGTCACAGGGAGAGGCAAGGAGCTGTTTCTAAACCTGTTTGGAAGACCTGAGATACCAACTCCCATATTTAGCTAAGAATGGTGTAAATTCTCTAATGCAACCAGTTGTATAAACACCTTGATTTTGCATATCAGCTGGACAGTATGAAATGCAAATGGCCAAGCAAACTAAGGATATAAATAGTACAAAAGTATGATGCAAATATCTCTTTCATATCTAAATTGTAATACAATTCTAAGTGTGATAAAGGTCATAATCTAGATTTGGTCTTTCAGCAGCAAACTATTTCRAATCAGTTGTTGCTTGTTATAAAAACACAATTATAGAATGTATTTATATGCACATGAATTTTGTAAGTATAACTTTGTTACCTGCACARAAAGAACTCAATCATTCTGCTAGAAGTGGGTTTTCTTTATATACTGTACCCATCCTAACACAGTTTTACTTTATGTTACTTGTGGAAGTAATATCACATTTGCTTTACAGTTGTATTGCATTCTGGGTGAGAAAAACTGCATTTACACAGCAGCAGCAGCMGCCAGCAGTGTGAATTGTGAGGAGTTATACTGAAGATTCATAGCTGGTTTCAGTATCTAGACTATATYYAGGAGYCATCTCTGAAAAGCTTATTTGCTCRTTTTGGCTTGGACTGCTCAAGTCAAGCARCAAAGAATTCACAGTCTCCAAGCAAACTCATCCTTTCCCTTTCCATTCTCCTGCTGTTTTGAAGCTTGGTTCGCATTCCTAAAATCTGTACAGAACCACGAGTGTGAACAGCTCCAGAAATCCTCTGTGCAGGCACATCTTGTGGCCATGGCAATCTTGTTTACATGGGGAGTCTGTTTACACATCTGTGCCTGCAGTTGTTGTTGTCCTGGCTATAGAGCTGCATTYGTGGGGGTGTGAGCAAGAAATCCTTGCAAATGCCATTTTAGATGAAAATGAAAAATGTCATTTGCTGATGTAAATTTATTTTTCCTCACCAAAAGATGCTGTGATAATTTCCATTTTTATCATCATGTTGTGGTGATTTATTGGTTGGGTTTTGAAATTATTTTGCCAGCCTCAAGAAAGTAGACATGAAGTGAGACTGCTTCTTTGCAATCARCATGCTGAAGTTTGTTATTTACACCAGTTTAGCAATGGATACTAATTTCAAATTGCAGAATCTGGTGGAAAATACCGTAATCATAGGGMA